AAAAGGTTTTCCTTTTTTAAAGGAGGTTTAAGGTTTATTCTGTGATCATGATAGATTATCTATGATTAAAAACCCTGCACTGATGTAAAAAAAAAAATGGAATTACTTGACACTGTAGTGTGGAAGTGCTGCTCTGTGCTCTCAGGTTGGTACTGTCTATATCTGAGTGGGGGTTTTTATATTGAAAACACAGAATTGTTACCCCAATTGGTTTTCAGACGTGCCTCAAGCATAGTTTTAATTTCCAGCTCATTTTCCTTTCTAAAGTTCTTGCCATTTAGCAACCTCATTGGTACAAACAGCCATCCAAGGCTGCAAAGGCTCTATGAACACAGTTGTGCCCATAAATACAGGTGTAACATGAACTGTGACATTCAGACACTGCCTGAGCCTCTTCACAGATCCAGGGAACATCATTCTGCAAAAATGGAGCTTTGTCATGTGAGTGATGTGTATAGAGAGTGCATCTACTTGTTTTGGAGGTAAATGTGCTTTTTAGTGCTGGTTTTTCCTTCAAGCCACCACAAGTCAGAAAAAATCGGTTTCTGTGACTCTTATTGAGAATATCTCAATAAATCTACACTAAGTACAGTTCAAAAGCTGCACTAGAACAAACCCAGAAATCTAAACCAACAAATGGAAGCCAAAACTGGCTTGAGTTACCACTGAAATACATTACATAGGATCACAGAGTATCTCAAGCTGGAACACATCCATAAGAATCATCAAAGTTCAACTCCTGGCCCTGCACAGGACCACCCAAAGAATCCCACTGTGAGCCTGACCACCTTTTTGCTCTTGTAAACTGGAATAAACATAGTTAAAAGGGCCATGAAAATGGCTTTAAAAAGGTTGTTTTGTTGGTTGTTTTTTCAGTTTATGCTTTGTTGTGAGTATCCGTGTAGGAAACAACTGCTGGAAATGCAAAATGAATTCTGAAGATGATGCAATTGCACAGAAATAACTTATGGAACATTTCAGGGCACTGGTTTAGGACTTCTGAGTGAAAACACAGATGGGATTCACTTTGGGACAACTTGGGGCTGATAATGAGAGAGAATGGCTGTGATGGGACAGATCTTTGTTACCCTCACCAAGGTGTGTGCTGAGTGTTTGTTTGTACCAGCAGTATTGAAAACACCTTGGACAATCAGCCCTATATGAAAGTGTGTTTTAGGGAGTCTCACTAACAGAGATGGACTTTGTGAATAAAAGTTCACGTGGCTTTTGTAAAGGTGACAGTTTGGAAAAAGACCTCTTGCCAAGAAAGAGTGCAGTGGTTGCTGTACAAAAAATCAGGTGAAATTCCAGAATATTCCTTTTTTTTTTTTCTTTTCAGAATAGAACTGCAATTAAAAGGGAAAATACCGCTAAAGTTCTAATGCTTCTAAATAAGCAATTAAAAGGGACAATACTTCTACAAGTTCTATAGTATGTATATTTTTTAAAGCTATTTGACTTTTTGGTTGAATTACATAAATTTTAAAATAACTTGCATATCGTTTTTATTTACTACATGCACAATGCACAAACTTCAGTTTTACTATAAATCTGCTTTTGCTTCTTGTTTTTGTAGGTTTGTACAATGTAGCATCTACTAATTTTCACTGCTTCAAGATAAAACTAAGGAAGGAAAATACTTCAATGAAATTTGAAGCACAGGTAAGGAAAAATGTTATATATCTAGAACTGTTTCTTAACTCCCAATCCAAATTTGGTAGCAACTTTGTACATAGGTAAAAATCATAATGAATAAAAAATCTCTTCAAACACATATTTAGATTATTATTCAAGCTGGAAATAGACATGACATAGACATGAAATAGATATGAAATAGACATGAAATAAACACTCACAAGATTATTCAATTCCCCCTGGCTTCAAAGGACCTGCAAATGTTTTACATTAATAATGAATTTTCTTTTAAACCTAACAAGTTAACTCTGCAATATTGATGAGTTTTCTATTTTAAATGTGTCTGTGGTGCTTTAAGCACTAAGAAACTGAACTCAGGCATCAAAAAAACCCAAATATACCTCGATGGAGTTCATATCCTTTCATTTTCAACACTGCTCCTTATTTCCGGAGCAGAAAGTTGTTATATTTGTTCCCAGTCCAGACACTGAGTCATTCCTGTCTCAGCCAGACACTGGCTTCTCTGGATAATTTCTCTCTCCCCTCCAGAGCTGTTGGACTGAGAGGAAAATTGTAATGCCAGGTGCCTCCCCGAGCTGCATTTCTGGAGGTATTGCTGTAAAAACACACCAAGGTGCTAAATGCTGCCAGCAGGCCATGGAAATTCTCTGGCTGGTTCAGATGCAGCTGAGCTAGGAACACTCACTGGTTCTGACAGAATGTGCAGACAGTTTCCACTTAGGATGCTTCATCTTCTCCTCAAAACCCTCTCCTGACACTCTGATTATGCAGTGACAGTCATATGGCTTGTTTCATATGAGCTAACCTGCCAGTTAAAGGTGAAAATTGTGCAAGATTCTCTTCTCAATTTTATTTCATTTTTTCCTTCCCTTAAAACTTTTATGGAACTTTTAACAGAGCTGAAATTCAAGGATTGAGGACTTTTTCATTTTTTTATCAAAAAATCTGTGTGTGATAGAGCTGTTGAATGTGGGGGCACCAGAAACTTGGCTGCCCTTCTTTTGCCAACAAAAAAAACCCTGAACACTCTGTTCCCACATGGCCACTTGGAATGCCTGCTTTCAAAAATACCTGTTTGATTCCAAAGAAGAAAAGTGAGTTCATTTTTAAAGGCATTTGGCGTCCAAACTCACCTCTCTCTCACAGAGATACTTAGATTCAAATGTCCATTGAGGTGGTGTTTTAGGAACTAGAGATGTGAAGAAGTTTGAGAGTGTTTTTAAGGGCAGTTTTCCCCTTAATTCCGGTGTTTACCTCTAGATGGCTTCCCAGGATAGTTCATCTGGCTCCAGACCTGAGTGAACTTGTGCACTGCATTCATTTTGATGAATCCCAGTGATACCTGCAGATAAAAACCCAAATTTCTTTCCGCCCAGCTGTGAAGATAACACTGTCAGGTTTGATATCCTTGAGATCTTTTGATATTCTCAGTGCTTTGCATTTCAAGTTAATTAATTCTGAAATGAATGTGCAGTTACAGCCTCCTCAGAAAAGCTTCATCTCCACTACCAAAATCATAATTTACCTGTCTAATGCTTGACAGTGCAAACAGCCAGGGACCTGCTGTAATACACTCTGCCCTTTTCCCTCTTTTCAGAGTTTGAAGGGCTGTGGAGACCTTCTGGCTATGCCCTTATCACCAGACAAAAAAGTCTTGGAAAAAAACACCCTTTTTTTGCAGGGTGAGTCTCCCTCTGTCATTCAGACCCTGCCTTTTTCACTGCTAAATCTCCAGTTTTCAGCAATGCAAGCATCTTCCAGCATGGAAAATCCATGAGGCATCAGAAAAACACTGGTCAGTGGTACTAGATATTAATGATTATCAGCTAGGCTGGGTTCAGCTGGAAATCTAGGGCTGCAAGGAGCTTTGCCCTGCACACACCAGCTGATCTTGGGCAAGCAGCTCCCTGGCAGAGATGGCTCCCTTGAACTCAGCCTTAGCCCTGGGTCTTCCTGGACCTGCTTTTCCCTGGGCTCAGGTCAGACCTGGGCACCTTTGTGACAGAGGAGGCAGGGGCTGCATGACCTGGTGACAGAGCACTTTGGTTCCTGCACAGAGCCCAGGGCAACATGGAGCAAGCCCAGCATGGCATGAGCCCAGCACGCCCACAGCAAGCCCAGTGTGCCCAGCAGTTTGCCCCCCATGCCCACAGCTGGTCCACAGTGTAATATTTAAAGCTATTTGACTTTGGCACCTGCAGGATGCCCAACGTGCCTGCAGCAAACCCAGGGTGCTGACAGCATGCCCAGGGTCCCACAGGCAACCCAGGGTGCCCACAGCTGACCCTGCTGGCCGCAGCAATCCCAGAGCACCTGCAGCTGAGCCTGCTACCCCACAGCAAGCCCATGGTGCCCGCAGGTGGCCCAGAGTGGCCACAGCAAGCCCAGGGTGCCCACAACAGGCCCAGGGTGCCCACAGCAGGCCCAGGGTGCCCTCAGCAATCCCAGAGTACCCGTAGGTGGCCCTGCTGGCCCACAGCAAGCCTGGGGTGCACTGAAAGCTCAGGGTGCCCGCAGCTGACCCTGCTGGCCCTCAGCTGGCCCGGGGTGCCTGCAGGTGGCCTGGGGTGCCAGCAGATGGCCCATAGTGCCCGCAGGTGGCTCTGGCGGCCCACAGAAAGCTCAGGGTGCCCACAGCTGACCCTGCTGGCCCGCAGAGAGCCCATAGTGCCCGCAGATAGCCCATGGTGACCGCAGGTGGCCCTGCTGGCCCAGGGTGCCCACAGCAAGCCCAGGGTGCCCGCAGGTGGCCCTGCTGGCTCACAGAAAGCTCAGGGTGCCCGGAGCTGGCCCATAGTGCCCGCAGGTGGCCCTGCTAGCCCACAGATGGCCCATGGTGCCCGCAGCTCGCCCCTGGTGCCCGCAGGTGGCCCTGGCGGCCCACAGATAGCCCGTGGTGCCCGCAGCAATCCCATGGTGCCCGCAGGTGGCCCTGCCGGCCCACAGATGGCCCATGGTGCCCGCAGCTCGCCCCTGGTGCTCGCAGGTGGCCCTGGCGGCCCACAGATAGCCCATGGTGCCCGCAGGTGGCCCTGCCGGCCCACAGACGGCCCAGGGTGCCCGCAGCTCGCCCCTGGTGCCCGCAGGTGGCCCTGGCGGCTCACAGATAGCCCATGGTGCCCGCAGCTCGCCCCTGGTGCCCGCAGGTGGCCCCGGCGGCCGCGCTGGCAGCGGCGGCCCAGGCGCAGCGAGCCGGTGGCGCGGCGGCGGCCGGCGGGGGAGGGCAGAGCAGCAGCCACTCCCAGGAACAGTAGTGAAATCGGCCCGACACTTTAACTGTCAATCAGGATTAATGGGGTATAAAACCTCCCCAGCGCCGCGGCCCTGGGCGGCAGAGACGGCAATAGGCAGAAATGAGTAAGAGCCAGAGCTGAAGTAGTGCACGGCGTAATTCCTGCTCTGTGATCCACGCTCCAAGTGAAAAAACCGGGAGAGGGGGCAGAGAGAGGCAGTGACCGGCTCAGCCTTTGCAACCGGCTCAAGACAGAACGTCTATAGATATTTATAGATACTAAAACAAAAACAACAACCTCACCCTGAATTGAGGTTTTCTTAAAAAGAAGGTCCTGGCAATTCTATCTTATTTAAGCAATTTCCTGAGTCTAAGAATAGAAATGAGCTGCCTGGAAGGCACTGCAGGCTGAAATTTGGAGACATAGGCTGCTTTATTTTATTTTTCTACATATAAAAACCTTTCGTTTGGATACTGGATTTTGATGTGGGTTTTTGCAGCGGAGAGATGTATGGTTACTTTTAATTCTACTTTTTTTCCCCCCCCTCTGTTTTAATTTAAAAAACAAGCTTTCCAGTTAAAAAGCAAGGAAGCTGTTTTACCTGCGTGTGACAATCCCAGAGGACACCGATCAAGAAACAGGAGTGACTTGGTTTTCTGCACTACTTTACTCCTACCCCCATTTATTTTTTCGGGGGAGGGAAGGATTTTTCCAGTCCAAGAACCTCTTGCCCCCAAGTTTTGGAAGGGGGGCTGAAGAACTGTCACCCATCTGGGGGTGCATGAAGGCTATCGCTTTTCTTTCTCTGTCACCTTGGTTCTGTGGAGGCTTGGAGGAGAACTTTGCCTGGCAGAAGAGGATGATGTGGAAGTGGCTGGGCGCCCTGCTGCTGTTCCCGGTGCAGATGGTGTATCTGGTGGTGAAAGCCGCCGTGTGCCTGCTGCTGCCGCCCAAGCTGCGGGACCTGTCCCGGGAGAACGTGCTGGTGACCGGCGGGGGCCGCGGCATCGGCCGGCACCTGGCCCGGGAGTTCGCCCGGAGAGGAGCCAGGAAGGTGAGCGGGGATGGGATTTGGGATGGGATGGGGAGCGCCCACCTGCTGCTCTGCCAGCGAGCCCTGCTGCCCCACCTCCGGGTGGGATCGCCTGGAAAGGTGAGAGCAGCTCTCTGAGTTATTACATCGGTTTCATTTCAGAAGTTGCCCACTCCTCCTTCACCGCGTCCTGCCTTTCCCATCCCATCCGGGAAAACGCGGTTGACAAAGGAGAGGGTTTTGCCTCAGCCCAGGTTTGCTGTGGCAGGGGAAGGAGAGCTGAGCGATTCTATGCATGGAGCCAGGGCTCACTTCCATTGCTGCTTTCTGGCGCTGCTGGGCATGGGGATCATGTAGTGAGCCCTCCTCTGTCAGGATCACATCACCCTAGATGAGAAAGATCATGTACAGTGAGCCTTCCTCTGTCAGGATATCACCCCAAATGAGAGGGTCATGGGGATAGATCCTGTACAGTGAGCCCTTCTCTATCAGGGTCATATCACCCCAGAGGAGAGGAACATGGGGATCATGTAGTGAGCCCTTCTCTATCAGGGTCATATCACTCCAAAGGAGAGGGATCATGTACAGCGAGCCTTCCTCTATCAGGCTATCACTCCAAAGATGAGGGGCATGGGAATCATGCACAGTGAGCCCTCCTCTATTGGGTCATATCACCCCAGAGGAGAGGGGCAGGTGGCTCTGGGACACTGGGTTCCCTTTCACCCTGCTGGGTTTCCATTTGTGAAAGTAATTCCTTGTTCTTCCTGAAGTCCCTTGTGTTTCATTTTTGGACAGCCCAGAGCTGTTCAAGGGGAAAATGAATGAGAAGCCGGCAAGAAGAGCACAGCTTGAGTGGAAGCTGTGGGATTATTTGCACATTTCCTTGAGGAGAGAGGCTGAGAGTGGCTGCTCTGCACAGCAGCCCAGAGGTGCCAGTGTAGCTGGTGGGTCCATTCTCTTGCTCAGAAACTCAGAAACATTTACCTTGAAATGTTGTGGTTTTGTAAATACAAGTATGTTCCTATGTGTGGATCAGTCAGGGATGCAGAAACACACAAATCCTGAAATGAGTCTCAGGATGGAAAGTTTCATCTCCCCTTTTATTGGTAATTAAAGGGAGGACTGGTGAAATTAGCTGCATAAATACTTCTCTGTGTGAGAGAATGAATGAGAATAAATAGAGAAGAAAGAAGAGGAAAAATACAGAATGAGAGGCTATTTAAAGAAAAACATTTGGATTTAGTTCAGGATAGGGTTTTATCACTTCCTTACACATGCATTACAGTTTTCTCTGTGTGGTACAGAGCTATTCTGGCATGTAACTCTGAGGTGTAAAATATGTCAGCATTGAACTTTGATGTTTGTCTGTGTTTGTGTTTAAACATCATGTTGAGATTTACACATTCTGGGAGTCAGAGCAAACAAGTTGATTGACCTTTGGACCCAAGAAATTTGCTGAAGGTGTATTTATATTATCTGTTGGAATACCAGGCTTCATTATTTATTTTTTTAGAGCGGCTGGTTGCTATGCTGAGTGCTGGCATTAAAGTGCTACCATTTCTACAGCACATTTAAGAGCTGTTTTGCTGCAGTTGAGCTGGGAGCTGAACAATGGCCCTGAGGAGCCAAGGGACAGGGGCCAAAAGGAGCCAGGGCTGTTGGAGAGAGAGCTGAGGATGGAATTACTGTAAACAGACACAGACTGTATTCTAGCTCTATGTCCTATCTACAGGATCTCTACATATTGTACACGGAAAGAATACAGAATATATGAGAATAATTATTGGGAACCTTTGTACTCATATGTTCTGAAATGCTCTATGTTGCTAGTTACTGGTTAGAACTTTGGGGTGTTTTGCCTTTGGGGATGTTTCCATGTGCGTCATCAAGGTGTTTAAGTCTTTGACTCAGTTTGAATTAGATTTTCTTTTCAGTTAGATCATGGTGTGCAGTCAGTCATATGGCCCTCAGCAAGTTCTGATCCCCCTGGTAGTGGCACTGCCTGCCAGCCTGTGGTGAGAACACCAAAGTTGGCTTCATCTCCTTAGTAGTTTTAATGCTAATTTTACCTACATGTGGTACTTTCCATTCCCTTTGCTATGAGATTTCATTTTTTTCCTGCTTCTGTGCTCAACCCTAAATTTGTGGATTTTGTGCAGTCGCCATGTACCATGCACAACCTTCTGCTTGGCACTCCTCTTCAATTTTACACTTTGCATTTGACAACCAAAAAGAAATGAAAAAGCCTTGGAGTGTCTAGCAAGTCATCTTTTGATAAGGCTCATGAAAACCGACTGTTTTTCTCTTTTTACAAAAACTGGCTTACACTAATATGCAAAGCTTGAATTATTGATCATAATTACTAACTTAGAGCAGATTCTGATTATCAGATGGCGCAGTCACCACATTCCAAGTTCAGAAAAAGACTTCCAGCAGAGGCATGGAGTTCTGGGCCCAGCCCAGCATGCCATGGAGGAGGTTGGCAGCAGTGCCAGGGCTCAGGTTCTGGTGGAGGGCGTGCAGTGTGTCCTGACCAAGCGCTCCCGGCGCCTGCGCACACAGACATAGTGGCGGGCTTTTGGAGGTAGGCGGCGATATATAACCATATTTTTGAGATTAGAATCTTCAGAAAGATAAGTTAGTTGGGACTGTGAGGCTATGAAACTTCTCTGGTAATTAGACTGGATGGGATTTCATCTTACACTCAGTTTCAGAGGCTCACAAGTGAGATGCAGCGGAGCCGTTTTCGAGCAAGGTGGCAAATGTTGTGTTTCACAAGATTATGAATTGCCACATCTGCAACTCCTCTACTGTAAAATTTGATCTTGCATTTAAAGCTGTGAAGAGGACAAGAAATAAATCCCAGAAGGGTTTATGCAAATGGAAATACAGTGTCTTGATTGATGAGCATGGAGAGTAAAATTCTCAGTCTAATGGAATGGAAGTCTCTTGGGCATGATCTTGTAAATCCATCCCGATTCCCATTCTTTACCCCCATTGCTCTGCCATTGTGCCTCAAATGTGACTTGGATAAATGTCTAGGAGACATTTCCTTCTCAAGTGATGTTTCTTTTCTCAAAGTTGTTCGTTGGCCTTTCCAAAGAAATCGCCAATAAAGGCACAAAGCAGTGCCAGTTCTATTTGCAGTTTCAGAAGTGTATGTTCCGTTTTTTTTTTTCATTTAAGACTGCCAGCAATTTTTAGGCAATGGGAGACTTTAATCATCAGATAATTCCTGTTCAAGTGTACCCTGAGAGGTCAAAGGATCCATACCCCCTTTGTAATTTCAAGTAGTTGTCAAGAACTACTTGGTCCTGGGAGGTGCTGTGTATTGAAATGCTTCCTGGAGCACTTCTGGAAAAAGCCAAGAGCATGTAAATGAGCTGTGTGCAGGGATGAAGTGCTTACAGATGATCCAGGACATGTTAGTGTTATGATGAGGGATGAACAGCACTGACTTTTCTCCGGAAACGTTCAAGTGTTGTAATCCAACTTCCCAGAGATGTGTCCAGATTCATAAGTGCTGCCTGAGAAGCTACTTTGCTGTGGCTGAATTGCTGGAGAAATCAACTTTCTGCTTTCAGTCCCTTCTTGCCTGCTTGCAAAATTCAAAATCCTCACTGTTGCTTGCTTTGACTCTTGAGAATTTGACTGTACCTTAAAAGTATTTGGTCAATGCAGTATCACCTCTGCCTCAGTCTCACACACTGGTAGCTCTGTCAAGGCTCGTAGCTGTTGATACTCTGGTGAGCCAAAATGGCAGAGAATGTCTGTGTTAATGAAATGGGAGAAGGAGAGACTTTTATGAGTTTATGATTTAATGCCTATGAAATAAAAATCCACTTCCAAAGCCTAATGGTGTTTTGCAAGGACTGTACTGTATAATCCAGTTAATATTGGAAAGACTGGCCCCTTTGAACAGTATTTCTTGTGTTGGAGAACAGCCTTGTGCAGATGTGAGCAGTCAGGGGGTGTAGGGGCTGAATGGGTTCATTCACTGCTCAGCAGAGTGGGAAACTGTGCCTGGTTTCCTCAAAGCCATTTGCTTTTCCTACAGAACTTTCATTATAGTGCCTTTGCCAGGAATTTGTTAGCCTTGGTTTTGATAGTCTCTAGTGAAGAAGTTTTGATTCCTATGTCTTTATCTTTGTTAGGTTTTCTTTTAGGAAACTTTGATCTCTAAAAATTTTCCTCGTCATTTTAATTTACTTTGTTCACAGGTTATCTAATTTGAGTTGTGATTGAATGGGAAGGGGATGCTTGGTTCTTAGACATTCTGCATTGTTAAATGTCAACAAAACCTAATAAAAGTAACTGAAAAAGATGATAATAATAGGACTGAAACAGATTCCCCAGCTAAAGCTGTATGTAATTTATTATTCTTGTTTATCTGACAGTGACCTTGGAAGAGTTTCTTGGATGTTTCCAAAAAAACCCAACAGCCCTGAAATCTCAACTGTTCCCTCCATTGGTATTTTCACAGCATTCTTCAAAGTCAGACCTCAGTGTCTGCATTGTGGAAGATTTCTTGGTTTTGGTTGTGCTGTCCTCTCTCAGTTCAGTGTCAGCTGGGATGGGAAGAATTTGAGGAAGGAAGCAGCACCAAGAAAGGGATGGATGAGAGCTGTGCAAGCCCACACTGCTGCTGGAACCTGGGGTTTCCCTCAGTGTTCCACTTTCCCCAACAGAACTGAAAACCTCAGAGGAATTACAAGTGCTTGAAAGCCTTGTATAATTGGAGAGGTTTAGCTGAGTAAGATTTGAGGCTATTTTGTGTTTAGGCTGAGAGTATTGGTGAGAGGTTATGTAAAAAAATATGTTATCAGGTCTTAGAATTTAGCCTTGTATTCCCAGTAATGGAAAATCTGGCAAGTTTTGAGATGAGTTTATCAATGGCATGCTCCTCCCACACAAATTGCATCTGTAGCTCTATGAATATTTCATTTTGGTCTTTATGAATCACATTGACTTATTAGTTCACAGATTTCACAGAATACTTTGAGTTGGAAGAGACTCCACAA